GCCTCCTGGCCATTTCTTATGACCTTGCTGTTTGTATCGATTTTTCTGTATGGATTCAATTCGTATTTGCTCTTAAGTTATATAGGTTATGCAAATAGAGGAAGCAACTGATGAGCACTCCTGAAATTAATGGAGCGAAAAAGTTTTGCTGTTTTTGCCATAATTAACTTTGCACCCAGAAAACGCTGCTTTCAATTACTACTACGCTGTTAGCAGTGTGAAGTCTTTGCCCAAAAGGAATTGGACGGGAAAATTTAGGTTCACTGATGTTGAATGAATCCGGATTTGAATAAGAACTTTGAGTTACTCGTATAGGCAATTCGTATAACACGATAAATTGTACTCCCGAACATCAAGTCTCTGTTAATATGCCTGGAATATTACCACTGGCAATTTGACAAAACAGTCTTAGCTGGTTCGACTTGAATAGCCGTTCCGACCCCTGCGATATGTGTCCGTTCAAGGGTGTTTCTGAGTTATCATTCGATCATGTTTTCCACCCTTTCTTAATTGTTTTTGACGACGTGCTTCATAGATAAGTATCAACGGAAAACGCCTTCAAGGAAGTCGATATGTTGTTAGTCGCCTCTAGGGCCAAATTCCCGTAGCTTGAGATACCAGCCCAAGATACTGAAACAGAACAGATCAAGAAAATAGAACAATGATGCAAGACTGCGACGACACGGATCAAGGCACCGACAACTTAACCTCTTGTCAACACTTTTTTATCGACACCGTACTTTTAAGTCTAGGATTAATCTTTCTGGGCTCCTTCATATTCACCGCTGTAGTAGTATTACCAGTCCAATATCTGTTCAATCACACCCCGCCCCTCCCAGTATAATCAATAAGGACAGCCCCGTCTTGTACTATATTAGTGACACCTTGACAACTGAGCTTGTTGTGATGGGACACCTTCGTAACCCCACAGAGAAAGAGTGCTCGCTAAAGAGTAAGGTGCGGTACCAACTCGCCCCCACTACGGCAGTCAAGTGTAATCACTCCTCGGTCCGATTTCTTCCCAGAGCGAGCGTATCACCAATTTCTAAGATCTGATCATGGCAAAAGTAGCTTATGTAGGCCCACTCATATATCCCTATTCCCAGCATTTTGTCCTGCAAAAACGGTGGCTATAGAGTTTTGAGTGGTGGGGAAATAGGACAGGCAGAGAAGGAAATTTTTAGATGTAAGTGTAAAGTGAAAAAAATGTAATTGAAGTTGCTTTCCGCGGCCGCTGGGTGTAAGTTGTTCCGCATGTAAATTAAAGGTGTGCGCGGTGCTTCGCGCCGCGGACTTTACTAATCTAACTCCAGAACGGTAAGTTGGGCGTCAGGTAAGTTGAAGTAGACCACCTCCTAACCACCATTTTAATTTTTCGGGAAATGGCAATTAGATAATCGGGTTTTTCTGCAATAACTTAAACGATAATACAGATTAGAAAAATCTGCCGATATAAATCAACAGCACTTCTAAATACAGTAAAATAAAAATGCATTCAACATTTATTAAAGTTTATTCCACTGCATG